CTTGCAGTTCATAGGATTTCTCGAGCCACACATGGAGGATGGCCACTCAAAGTGATGAGTACTAGTGGTGCTATCTATGGTTGATATGGTTCTTCCAATCCAAAGTGAGACCAATGTTAGTCAAACATATATAAGAGTGATATGTATGGGCCACCTCAACCATAAAGTAAATGGTGGTTTACGGGTATAGTATATTTATATATGGATAAGTACTTTCAAAAGCTAAGTGAATCAGAAAAGAATCCAAATGTGGCAGTTTTCTATTATATCTCTATTAATTTGACTACAAGTCATCAAAAGGTTGAAGATTTTGTTTTATTTTTAATAGGAATGTTGTATCATCAGAATTTGGCAATTAATTGAATGAATTCAGATTGATTAACTGAACTCTCTCAGCTAGCTTTTTACAAGTTACTTTTATCCTTGCTAAGGTGTTCTTATTGATTCCTAAGCATTTCCATGGCTATTTCATGATTATGCCCTTCAAATGCCTATTTTCAAACCTATGGTGTTATGTTTTACAATGGTAAGACCTTAAACCCTGTTGCCCCTGCTTCGAGTCAAGCTAAAAGCATCAAACAATGGAAGTGATCCATCTTTTGAAAATTAATCATTTTTACAAGCTAATCTAAATTACCCAAAACCATATGGTGCAATCTAAGGAGGAAAAAAGAAAATTTCATGGTGATAACTCATGAAATTGAATAACATTATAATTTCCTTGAAGTCTACTGCCCATATAGTCAAATTTTAGGAGAGTGAGAGAGAGAGAGAGACTATACCCAAAACAGAACTGCAAAAACATGTAAGAGACAGTGTGTGTGTGAGAGAGAGAGAGAGACATACAATCGGAGTGTCCTTGATGCAGAGGTGAGGCAAAGGGTCATTGGTGCCAACTTGCACAGGGGAGAGAGGAGCACCCAAAACACCGAGCAAGAGTCTCAGATCAGACCGCTTGTAAGCATTCGAAGCCATTAATGGAGTCCTCGAAAGCTGCCCCTTCATCCACTGCCCTAACCCTAAGCTGCGCTTCGAATCCCTGATTTTGCCTCCATTCGGATCCGAACCCTCCATGACGGGCCTTAAGCTTCCGGATCTCCCGATCTAAGGCTCCGATTAGCCACGTGGTGGTGGCGGTGGTGCTTCCTCCGTCGGAGCAGACCCGACATTGGCGACCTGGTTCGCACAGGACTCTTGGCTCGCGATCTCGCTGACGATAAGCCTCGCACAACTTCTTCTTTCAAAGCAGAAAAGAATCCCTCTTTTCTCTCCATTTTTAAAGTCTGAGATTTTTTTACAGAAAACAAATCGTTCTCTATAGAGAAGAAGAAGAAGAGGAATGTGAGTGAACTCTCTTCATAGACGAATTTTCTCTCAGATGATCGAAGCGAGGTAGTCACTTTTAGGCAGGGTTTTGAAAATGAGTAAAAGAAAGATAAGAAACAGAGGTAGAATGAGACAGTGATAGAGAACAGAGACAATAAACTCACATTGGAATAAGGCAATCGAAAGAACCGAAAGAATACAACGGCGGAAGGCCGCAACAACAATGGAGGAGGGTTTGCCTGTGCGATTGAGAAAGAGACCTACAGGAAACCGTATCGCTACTGTGAGAAGGGAAGAGAGAGAGAGAGAGAGGGGGGGGGAGTTGGGAGCTAGAGGGTTTACAGTGATATGTTTATTTATTTATTTTATAAAGATTTGGGGGTTTTTTCTGTTTTTTTTTTCAATTTTTTTTTTAATTTTTAAAACACATCAAAACGAAGTAGTTGCATAATCTTCAAAAGTGGCTGACTTTCAGCAACACAAATTTATTTTGTCGCTAAAAGAAAAGCTTTTTGCCAATGCATGGCCATTGTTGCCAATACAAGGAGACTAACAGCGACACATAATGTGTCGCCAAAACTATAAAATCCTCGCTAAAACTAATTCGCTTTTGTCGCACATCCTGGTTTTTGGCACCAAGTGAATGGTTTGGACTTTTAGCAATGGATGGAAATGATGTCGCTAAAGGCTAACCTTTACCAACGAAATTGATCCTTGTGTTGCAAAAAATATGGCTTTTACTACGAAAAAATGACCTTGTCACCAAAATTGCATTTTCTTATAGTGATGGGACACTGTGTGTCTTAGTAGTTTTCAAAATTAGGGAAACCAATGAAATTAGTTTTGAAAATTAGGGATATATGTACATGAGTATCATTTATGCCACCATTGTTGTTCCAGAAAGAAAAAAAGGAAATTGAATAAAAATGGAAGTTGCATAAAATTAAGAATGGGAGTTCTTTCAAGAAACCACTACACCTTAACGATCTATTTGGAAATTAAATAAAAAAGCAAATTGACTGGAGATGGAAATTGAAAAAAAATAGAAGCTGAATAAAAATAGAAATGGAAACTGTAAAAAATTAAACATGGAAGTTCATTCAAGAAACCACTATACCTTAACGATCTATTTGGAAATTAAATAAAAAAGGAAATTGAATAGAAAAGAAAATTGAATAAAAATGGAAGTGGAATAAAAATAAAAATGGTTGTTGCATAAAATTAAGAATGGAAGTTCAGTCAAGAAACCACTACACCTTAACGATCTATTTGGAAATTAAATAAAAAAGGAAATTGAGTCGGGATGGAAATTCAATAAAAATAGTAGTCGAATAAAAATAGAAATGGAAACTGCATAAAATTAAATATGGAAGTCACTACAACAAAAGTAACCTATGGTGACGAAAAATAGTGAATAAAATAAATTTCGTCACTAAATAAGAATAATCCGCGGCGAATTATAAAATTTTGTCACATATAATAAAAAAAAAATAATAGGTGACGAAATTTATTGTCGTCAACAAATACTTCTTTTTAGGTGAGAAAAAATTAAGTTTCGTCACCGAAGGTTTTCCCACTAATTTTTTTTGGTGGCGCCAAAATTTTAACCCTTTTAGTGAGAAAAACATTTGCCACCAATTATAAAATTATTAGTGAGGAATATATTTTCGTCACTAATAATTTTGTATATATATTTTTTTGAGAAACTTGATTTTAAATATTTTAAGACCATTTGGTGATAAATATATTTTTGTCAGTAATAATTTTTAATATTTTGAGACTTTTTAGTGAGGAAATTATTTTGTCACTAATTTTGAAGGGAAAGTTTTGAAATACTGGACAGTAATGAAAAAAAATATACTACTAACTTTCCCTCCCCCCACTCCCTCCTCATTTTTTGTTTATCAGTTTTCCTCTCCCCTCTTTCTCTCTCTCTCTAAAAACAAAACACAAGTTAATTAGCTCTCTAAGTAACCTGCGGTGACGAAAAGTAGTGAAGAAAATAAATTTCGTCACTAAATAAGAATAATCCGTGATGAATTATAAAATTTTGTCACATATAATAAAAAAGTAAAAATAATAATTAAAATTTTGTTACATAATTTTAGAAAGGATATGAATAATTCTTAAACTTTTAAAAATGAAACAAGAAAAAAAATTAAAAAACAAAACTCAAACCAAACAGGCACCTCACTTTTTTACAATCCCTCCCAAATTCCCCTCTCTTTTTTAAAATTATTAGTGAGTAATATATTTTCGGCACCAATAATTTTAAATATTTTTTTTTGAAAAATTTGATTTTAAATATTTTGAAACTATTTGATGAAGAATATACATTACAACAAAAACACATTTTAGTGGCACTACACTAGTGGCATGTTTTTAGAAAATGTTACAAAAAAAAAATATTTGGTAACACGTTTTAGAAAAAAAAAACTACAGAACCACAAACATATAAGGCTTTAGTGACATTTCAATAAAAAAATATCACATCAATTTTATGGCATTTTATAATAGAATGGCACATGAAATTGTTTCAGTGACATTTATCAACAGATGACACTAGACTTTAGTAGCAATGACATTTTTTAAAAAATGTCACTAAACTAGGTAGGTGCAAATTACTTTTTATGGCATTAGGTGAAAAGTGTCATAAACAAATATTTTATAACATTTTGAGAAATGTCACTAAGTCAAAAACTTTCCAAGTTATCTAATGGCATTTTTTGAAAAAATAAAAAATGCTAATATATTTTCAAAATTTTTAAAATGCACAAAATAAATAAAAACAAATAAGTTAAACTGAATATAACATGTTTTTTTTAACTATACTTGTCACATGTACAAAATTGATTAACGACTTTATATGACTTAAAAAAAGAAATAAAATTTCAAATTGGTCTCCTGTACAATGATAAATTTTTTAAAATTTTAGTTCCTATAATTTCAATTAACTCGGTTTTGACTCTAAATATTACCGCCTAATTTGAGTTTACGTTTAATTTTAGTATTATTAATTTTTTATTTATCTGTAGTACAGGTACATACATCAAACAGAGTGACTAAACACCAAACATAGTCTTGCTCTCCCCCTCTCTCTCATAGTCACTCACCCCTGGTCAGTCACCGTTGCTCCCCGTCTCCTCGGTTCCCATCGACGTTCAGGTCTCTCTCTCTCTCTCTCTCTCTCCCTTTATTTTCCCATTTCACTCTAGAGCTAGGGCTTTTTTTTTTTTTGATGTTGTAGGATTTTTATTTTTGTGAAATGAGTACATGAGTTTTGATTTTTGTTCTAGATTTAGGGTTTTTTGAACTAATTATTGGTGTGATAGATGAGATGATTTATTCTGTGAAATGATTTAGGGTTTTTGAATTTCAAGTTGAAGATATATTGAACAAACAAAATGGATTGTAGTTTTAATTATACAAAATTTTCTGTCGATTCTTAATATTAACTCCAATACTAATTTAACAATGATTTTTTCTCATTGCTAAAATTGTAGCTCTATTTCACTGCTCCTAATGTTTGTCTATTTCATCAAGCGTTTTGTCCAAATCATTCATCAAGACACATCGGGGATTGGGTTGTAATTCATTTACTTGAATTTTTGTATTATACATTTGATCAAATGTATTTTGATCAGTAGGGTGCTCTTGATTTTTACCTAAACTGATTGTTGTTCAGTTGCTCTCAATGGTTTTTCACATAAGTCATGATGTCTATCATCTTGATTTATTTAGTGTGTTACTGTGTGGAAGACTTTTGATCTATCTTGAGATTGAATAACTGTTAATAATCCACCTGGTAATTTTTAATTGGTAATTTGTTTTAAGAGTTTGGCCTATTCACTCCCCTCTAGGCACAAAGGTGTCTGTCTCCGCAATTTCATTATCCTACTAATTCATTTATATTGTTTTGCAGGAAGACAAGGAGAAACTTGAGAAGCAATTGCATGATATGGCAGTGGTGGTTGAGAGATTGGAGAGCAGCAGACAGAAACTGCTAATGAAGGTAACATCCTTTCCTACTATTTCAATTCATTCAATAACCTGGACTTGAAGTTTTCAGTTTGCTGCTTAATCTTGTTTATAGATTGATTCCCAATCTTCAGAGATAGACAGGGTTTTTGAGGAAAATTCTAATCTTTCATCTGCTTATCAAGAGGCAATGGGTGTAGTAGTGCACTGGGAGAATCAGGTACTTAGTGCTGGAGGTTTGACAGAATCTGGTTTTCAGATTTAGTAATCTGTTGACACCTTTTGTGGTTTCTTTCTCTCTCTGTTTTTTTCCCTTCTCCCTTATTGATGGATCTTTAGGCTGTCCCAAGGTAGTTTATGAATAACCTTGGACAGTGTAATTTGGTTTAATTATAGTGTTTGGATTGGCTGCATTACATTTTCATTTTAGAGATTGGACATAAAAAGTTGCTTCCCTAGGTGTTTAGCTTTCATTTCATTTAGAGTTCACAATGAAAGCTACCCTGGTCAAATGAACAAAGAAAGCAAAAAAATTCTTTATCCTTTGTGCATGCCTACAGCATTCATGGTTTTCAATTGTGATTTTACTTTTTTTTTTGGTAAAAATTTATGTTGACTAAGGACCATCAATTTAGCGCATAATTGAGCTCCTATTCCTCATATTTGAACCCTTGGACAAGTTGCATGAAAAATGAATTCATGCCTTGATGTATTTGTCCTGCTGGAGATTTGTGGTGAGGTGGAAGTTTAAGATATAGATGTAGGATCTCAATTATGTCAAAAGAGAACTTCATGAAGGGGGTGTCAGAAGTTTTAAGGACAAATATTTAATCAAATAATATATTGTTGTGTTTGAGAAGAGAGAATTTTACGTACAATGCTCTTTAGAGATTTTGGATTAAGCCTTTGATTCAAGGGAAAATAGTTAATCAGATGTGAAATAATACTGGCTGCACAATGAAGCCAGATATTGAACTACAATACTTGTATCTAAGACACCTATCTGCCTTTGCTTTACCTATTCATATGTTTGTTTATACATCAGGATACCCCATGGCTTTGCGATAAACTATATCTATAGGCTTGAGTTTAAGCTTGAGCTTGAAAAGACATTTAGTTATGTAATTTGCCTTCATCTTGTCGTGGATGAGGAATGCTTATATTATCTTTACTTGTTAAGTTTCGTGGAAGTTATGTGGATCTCTTCCTCAAAACAATAATATGCATAATGTGATTCCTGCAGGTAAAAGACTGTCTTAAGCAGAATGAGGAGCTCCGCAACATGTTAGATAAGTTGAGGACAGAACAAGCTAATGCACCAGCATTGAATGGCATGGAGAGCCAGAGAGGCCTTTTAGAAGCAAAGAAAGATGGGGGAAATGAGATTGGTTCCCAGACATATATAGCTGAAATTCTTTCCATCAAGGTCAGTCGTGGCCAAAGATGATAGTTTTGCATATATACACATGGGAAGTAAAATATGTTTTCTTAAAATTAACACTGTGAAGTGATACTGGCTGATCTAGTGTGTGTTTTGCTGATGTCATCAATTTAACTTTGGAGCCTACTCAGGCTTATTTGGAGAAAGGGGAAGGTTACTGTAATTTCTTTCAGTTTCATTTTTTTGGTACGTCATGTAGAACTAACTACTAAGCTAAGGGCAACGGGTAAAGGGTGGAGTATCCAATGGTCAGTGAATATAAATTGAATGTAGAAGATGGGTCAACAAATGCTACTCCATCCGCTTTCCCAAGTGACAGTAGCAATGGTAGAGATTTTCCCTCGCAAAGTACTAGACGCCATCGCCAACGATCTTCCACTCCTACGAGCCATCTTAGAGGGAAGAGGGAGGCAAGAACAGCAGTGGAGGGTGAGGCATTGAAGGAATGGACTGAAGCTACTGTTCCCTCGGGGATGTCTGATAGAAAATGGGCTGAAACTAGTAAGGTAATGACCCCAACTTTCCATAAACTTGAGACATCTTCCCAAGCTAGTCCATTCTCAATTACCAATTGTGTCAAGTGTCTAGAAGCGATTGAAGGAGTGGATTCAAGTACCTACATAAAGGCAATCAAGATGTTTAAGGATTTAGATTGGGGGGAGATGTTTATGGCAATGTCTCCCGAAAGAAGATTGGTTTGGTTGGCTAGCTTAGAGTAGTTTTGCTTTCTATGATTTTAGGTTTCTTAATCTATGGAACATGTTGAGATATTTCAACATTAATATGCATTCAGTACCACATGTACACTTTCACCTTTTTGTGTGGCACGTAATTCTTAGTCTGATGGGACGGGTTAAGATGTTGGAGCAATAAAAGGTGTAGGAGTAACCTAATCTCAATTCGAACAGAATGTAAAGTGCTTATTATTTAAAAAATGTCGTTATTGATCCAAAAAAAAAAAAAGGATGGCTCAAACACACTTTTTTGGGTCTTCAGTCCAAGTTTTAGTAAATTCAGATAGATTATGCCTGTCAAATTCGTAGTTTCCAAATAGGAATAGTTTAGGAGCTCTTAAAAGTCCATGTATAGTTGGACCCAATCCTACGTGAATCTATGTGTGCTACCCAATTTATACTTCTACTTCTCTACTGCAATGAGTTAGCATTTAAACCCCCAAAACCATATCTACCTCATCATTTCTCCTAACCCAAAATCATATCTTACCAACCTTAAACCTTTCTTTTTAAATTCTTCAACTGTAACCACTACACATCATTGAAATCAACTACTTATTAATATTCACGGCTGTACTATCACAGCTCCAAACTCTTGCCTGCCTTTGTAAAATCATACCCCTAAACTCTTCCCCTTCTCTTGTATCCAAACAAACCCTTAAACTCATTGTTTTGCCCACTAGTTGCAACAAAATCTTAGCATAATCAGTCTAAAAAACTTTTCTCATCACTGACCAACATCAATTTTTTTGGCATTAGAATTGTTGAAATCTGCCTCAAAATCTTAGCATAATCAGTCTCCAAAAAACTTTTCTCATCACTGACCAACATCAATTTTTTTGGCATTAGAATTGTTGAAATCTGCCTCCGCCCTACTCATACTTCATACATCAAATGGTTAGTAAGTTCATCATGTCAATGTGCAGCTTATGATGTGGTGAGGATGGACTGGTGATCCTAATGTAGGTGTTGCTTTGTTAACATTGATAAACATTAATCTAAATATAGTAATGCATAATTATAATACTTTTCAACAAACTTTAGTACCTTAAAGAAGATAGAACATAAACACCAGAAACTCTTAACAATTTGATGCTGACAAAAATAAGAGACCAAATAATTGAAGAGCTTATTTATCAAACTTACCTCAAACCAAAAACCAATTACAGAGGAACATGAAGGATTTGTTTCTTAAACAATTGGAATTTGTTTTTTGATAATAACAGATGCTTGTATGACTAACAGCTAGAGAAGTGCTCAATTGGAATTTGTTTTTAAATAATAACATGAAGGATTTGTTTCTACTCCTAGCTATCTTTCTTGTACATCCTTGATAATATTTTCCTTGTTTATTTTTTTTGCAGATTGGTTTTCGATGACGTTTGGAAGCATACTTGCAAATCAAGATCAAGTGTTGAATTTTATTTTATTTTTTGAATTGATACATAGTTCTAGTTGTAAATTAAGTTCAAGTGTTGATTTATTTTATTTTATTTTTGTGGACACCACGTTGGTTCATTTTGGGATTTGCTATAATGGTTTTCATGGATATATTTTGATTTATAATATAAATTGTTTAGCGAATTTTTTGTGTGGAGTAGTGTATATTAGCTAGTGAATTGCTTAGCACATTTACAAGACAATTGGGATATGAGCATGCATATTTGTGAAATAATAATTTAAAATGAAATATAAAATATGGAACAAGTTTAGTGACGAATTTTTTCGTCATCTATACTTGTTATTGTGACAAAGTGATTATTTGTCACTAATAAAGATTTTTTATGACAAAATTTATTGCAGCTTATATATGAAAGTTTTCATTGATTTTGTTGTTTGGTGATTAAAAATTTCGTCACGTGTACATATTTTTGTTACGAAATATATTCTGTCACCCATGTCTGACTTTTGGAGACGAAAAATTTCGTCAACTTTATATCTTATTGTGACGAAATTATTTTCTCATCAATGATCAACATGTGTGACAAATTTATTCGTCAACTAAAGTTATAAATATAGTATTGAATAACTATTTGGTGACGAAAATGAGGATTTTTGTGACAAAATGTTGTCTTATTGGTGACAAAAATTTTCGTCACTAAATTAATTTCATTGGTGACGAAATTTTTTTTCGTCACGATACTTTTTAGTGACAAACATTCAATGACGAACCTAGTGACAAAAATATTTCCTCACAAATATCTATAGTGACGAAATTAGCTCTTTGGAGACAAAAAAAATTCGTCATCCAAGACCCAACTTGTTGTAGTGTCTGTTAATTGTTGGACTATATGGCCTTTATATTTTGTAGGTCGAGTGCCTATATTTTTGCTAAGGGTTACACATTTTTTTATATAAGCCTAAAGGCATCTCTTTTGTAAGAATATTGATATTTTTTAATTTATTGTAGATTCATGCCATATAGAATATAGGATGTATGTAATAAATATGTTTCATGTATTAAATGATACACACATAGGAGAATGATATTTTATTTTCAGTATCCATTGTTTTTCCTTTATTGTGCAGGAATATATATTTTAGTTTGGATCTCGAAAATCCAAGGGGTGACAATATTTATCCGCATGTCACTTATCTATCCATGTAATCTGTCTATCTGTCCATATCACCACCACCACTAGTCCCCACATCCGGCGGCATTTTCGACCATTTTCTAGTAAATTTTCCAACATTGGAGGTGGTCTGGTAGTGATCTAGTATCAGGGGGATAAATTAGAAAACAAATTTCATCAAAACAATAATTTGTTCTTCTCACCAAATAATTTCATTAATCATGTCTTTATTTTCATAAAAAAGTGATATCGCAAATTGCATTTGCTAACTACACATCATTCAATCACTATTTCTCTCATACTCATGTATTCAATTACCCACCCCCCCCCAAAAAAAAAAAAAAAAAAACTACCATGGCAGCTCAATCAGGCATTGAAGCCAATCATTTCACACTAACGTCCTGTATGGAAACGGTGACTACAGTCATAAAATTGGCTCACCAATTGCAAAACAGGACGAGTGAGCTCCATCAGGTCAATGCCCAACTCTCTCTGCTTCAGCGCATGTACAAGGATGCACGAGCAGAAATAGGCGCACTGAAGGTCGAAAATAAAGAGCTTAAACAGAAGACCACCTCCACGGCTCGATTTGGAGCAACGTCATTCTTGGCCTTTGATAGTCAACGAGGAATCGTCGCTCTCGACAAAAACACGGGGCAGGGGCATCAAGGGTCGCCCAAGGTGATAAAAAGAAGAAGAAAACAGTGGAAGAGACGAGTAAGTGAGGTCGGTGTATGGCCGGAAAAAAATGAAGGGTTGTTTTGTTTTTGTATTTTTGTATTTTTTTTTTTTTTTTTTGTGAAAAACCCTTATAACAGACATTTAAAACATGAATGAAATTTTTACTTGAGTGGGTAATGGAGCGAAGCTTTCATTCTTGATGCACGGGACCGAGTGAATGAGTCAAATTATCAAAATAGCCTCACACAATAAAATACACCATTACAATCCGATTTTGATAACAAAAATAATTAATACAATATCTTCTGTCTAATTGATTTGAACTGTTGATTTATTGACAATATATAATGGGTTAGCTAATTTGCAGGTCCACTATATTTCGAGGTCAAGCAGAATGATGGAAGTTTGCCTACTTTAGTCTTGAATCCAAACTCATGGACGAAGGTAGATAGAATACAAGAAGGCTGAGACTATTATTGTCATACTAATTTTATATGCTGTCAAGAGCAATTATATATAACTATCTGAAGCATTAAAATGTTAGATGTTGCCTTGACAGCAACCATAGTTTGTTTAACAACTGGCCTATTTTGTAAGAAATTGTATAACTACATGTGCATATACAGATTAGGGATGAGTTTCTCATCAGTAAACCAAACATCTAGTCTAACAATCTGTGACTACACATTGTTGTTGGGGTCATAGGATCCACCATGTGTCCTACTTTGGTGATATATTCACATTGTGGTTTTATCACTCCAAAAAAAAAATAATAATAATAAATAAATAAATAAATCTAATTGATTGATTGATTATAACCATATAATATTTATCTTTAAAAGAATAAAAGGTTTGCTTTGCCATCTATTTGTTATTTTAGAAAAATTACAAATACACCTCTTGAAATTTGTTTAAAATACATATTATTCCTGTGGTTATGAAAAATTACAAATACCCCATTGTCAAATTTTTTTATTTAACAGAATAAACAGAAATTGAAATTTCTAATTGATTTTCTATACAACAACAAAATTATCTGAATTGTTAATTAAAATATATTTCTGATATCATTAAAAATTATTAATTGACTTTATAATTTATTAATAAAATGAGTCATTTATTATAAAATTAGAAACTTGATAGCGTGGAATGTAATTTTCAGAATCATAACATTTTAAGAAAACCTCAAGGGATATATTTGTAATTTACCCTATTATTTATTTTTAAAGTCAATCATATGGCTACAAATTTTTGAATGTTATTATTATATAAATAATCTACACACATGGTCCCACACAAAAATTTGTTTAGATCTTCAAGTTATTGTTATTATTATTTTACCAGTCCTCTCACAAAAAATTGGACTGCATGCCCAATTGACTGAAGAAAGCCAATCTCCTCAGGCGATGTTAAATCACGGTGATGTATATCAGGTGGCGAGCATACTCTTTTTAGATTTGCCTGTTAGTACTGGATTCTCCTATGGAACTACCTCTCTTGCTTCTAAATCTACCGATTTGCAATCATGTGACCAAGCCTACGAATTTCTCAGGAAGGTAATTTGTTAACTCTCCAACAAAAGCAACAAGAAACAATGCTTAAGAGTAGATTTTGGTAGTAAATGGACAATTGAACACAATTTCATAAAATATATATATATATATCAATTACTTAAAAATAAAAAAAAACATTTTGCAGTGGTTGATTGATCATTCAGAGTTTTTCTCGAACCCTATTTATGTGGGTGGAGACTCATACACTGGCCTTACGGTTCCAATAATCGTTCAACTAATATCAAATGGTAAGAAACTATCAGGTCAGTGAAAATTTAGAAAAATTAGGTTTTTATCTTGGTCCTATTTTAAAATTTGTCTCTAGCATCCTTTATGATGTTAGTTTGAGTCATAAATTAATGTCTTTAAAAATAGAGTAAAACTGCATATATCCTGTGCTCTTTAGAAAAAACTCTACTAGATAGAAGTCTCTTGCTCTACCAGGAGTCCCATACATTGATCCCATTTCTACATATATTACCTTTCTGTGTCAAATTGGTCCTCTTCCCAAGTGGTTGTTGGTCTTGTAATTAACTCTTTAAAATTAGGGAAAAAGCAAGATTAAAAAAGGAAAAAAAAAACACCCTCTAAGTTGGACTAATAAAAATGAAATAAACTTCTTTAATCGGCGATAAACTTAGGGTTTGTTTGGTAACCTTTACGTTTTCAGTTTATATTTGTAAAAATTTAATAAACTGATTTTTGTTTATTTTTTATTTATTTTTAAAAAAACATAAACTACAAATGCGTTTGGTAATTGACAAAATGTTTAAAAAAATTTAAAAATATAAAAAAAAAGTGAGAAATGGCAAGTGGTGGCAAGTGGCGGCGGAAGACGGTGGTGGAAAGTGGTGAAGGTGGGTGGTGGGTAGCGGGTGGTGGTGGGTGGTGGTGGTGGTGGGTTGGTGGGTGACGGTGGTGGTGGCTGGTGGGTGGCGGATGGCGGGTGGTGGTGGGTGGTGGTGGCTGGTAGGTGGCAGGTGGTGGTGGTGGGTGGTGGTGGCAAGTGGGTAGCGGGTGGGGGGTGGGTGATGGTGGTGGTGGCAGGTGGTGGGTAGTGGGTGGTGGTGGCGGGGGGGTGATTTTGAGGTTTCTCCTTCTTTCTTTGTAATCTGGCTGGCATCTTCTTGATGCCTTATGGTAATAAAATTCTACTTCTCAAAAATTTTTTAAAAAAATAAATAAATAAAAATTTATGGTTTCAATTTGAATGAGACAAGAATAATTCTACATTTACAAGATCAGATGTTATAGAGCTAAACCTGAATGAAATTTGAAAATGGATTTTTTTTTTTCCTTTTCTTTTGTTGTTGTTGTTGTTGTTATTTTACTGTCTCCACAAAAATGGGTGTAAATGAGTGATAGAAGCTGCAGAAGCCTGTGAGCGGTGTGCTAGGACTAAGTATAGTCCGATCTGATGAATATTGCTGATTTCTTCTGAAAAGAATATGTGAGGTCCAGGGATAAAAATCTTCTTGGTTTATTTGTTGCGTCAATGAATAGGACTTAGAATCTCCTTAGCGCTTGAAGTTGGAAGAGAACACAACAAGAATTTTATTATATCCAAACAAATTAAGGTACAATAATTGGAACAAACTAAGCTAACTTTTGAAATAGAAATGAAAAATATGGTAAGCAAATGAATTTACTAGTAATCTAAAGTTGAAATGACACTGAATCTTGAGAGATAACTGCTAAGTATTTTCTGAATTGACTGGATGATTGGTTGGGGTTTTTCCATCTTGAAATGGGTTTCATATGCTTTTCTAGCCGTTTTGAGCTAGCTCCTAATATATCCCTCGACTACTTATGGTTAGTGGTTTTCTAGAACACCTCCTAGAGTGCCAAGTGTCCCTCAACAACCATGTTGCCCAAATATCTCTAATGTATCCCTCAAGAGATGTAGATGATTGCCTCATTTTCTCTTAGTTGTTGGACCAAGTAGTAAGAGGTCTTGAATTTAAATGGATGGGTGCTAAGGGTGCTCACAGATTGGGTTGGGTTGGGTGCCTCCCATTCGCCATCCATCTGTACTTAGGTGGATTATAAAAAATCAATCCGTACTCATTTGCTTAGTAGATGTGGATTGAGTAGGCCGTGCAGATTGGCGGGTGGATGCGAACCTTTTTGGCTGTTTGGGCTTTACTGTTTATATATATATATATATTTGAAATATTTTAGAGTAATTTTTTACTATTTTGGGCTTTATTTGAGTCAAAAAATTTTTATTCTTCATTTTTAATAATTAAAATAAAGGCCAAACTTTCATATTTTATAAGTAGCTAATATTATTACTAAATAAAATGTCATTTTTTTTAACATACAAATCATGAAAACATAACATCATTTTCTTAAGAAGGGTTGGTGGATCGAGTGGCTTCTTATCTGCCATCCATCTGAGCATAAGCATATTAGAAAAATCTGCATCCGCATCTGCTTGCCCATACTATTGAAACCACTTAAAAGTGAGTGGATTGGGTTGGATCGGGTCAGTTTTGATGAATCAATCTGGTTAGTGAATTCCCCTATTGGGTGCCACATGTCCATATCTCCGGTCCATATCCTAAGATTATAGCTCTATGGTGGTTAATAGGAATGGTTAATAAACATCTCCTTGAAAATAGGTACATGATTTTCTAGAGATAATGAGTTAATATCTCAACATATTAATAGGAAACCATCATTACTTAAGCATACTTGATAAAATTACCAAGCACCTTCACTCTTATGGGTCTCCGACACAACGTATCACCCCTTGATTTGGAGGTTACTCTGGGAAAAACACCATAGAGATAACATTACAAAACTTTACAAATCTATTAATTGATTAAAATTACCATGCACATTCATTTATTTGAATAATCAATGCCATGTGGTATCATCTGATAGGGCTGTCATTTTTTGTACAAACACTTACACATATATTTTCATTTTCTACATATATAAAGTATTCATGTTAAATACTTGACATATGAATATGTGGGTAAGGAAATGATCATTTGATATTATTTTGGACTCACCAAGTTAACACTTGGGTGGTGGGTGGTGATGGCAAGTGGTGGTGTGAGGTGGGTGGTGAGTGGTGGTAGTGGAAGAAGGTGGTGGAAAATGGTGACGGGTGGTGGCTAGTGTTGGGTGGTAAAAAAAAAAAACTCAAAACGAAAACACATTTTTTGAGTTTACATTTTTTAGCCAAATTTATAAACTGAGACCACTGATTTACAAATCTAAAATTTACCAAACAAGTTTTTATTTGAGTTTTTAAAATTTTTGTAAATATAAACAGAAAACTGAAAGCGTAAGTGTTACCAAACGGCACCTTAGTATTTACTTTTTTCTTTTTTCTTTGTTTTTTTTTTCTTCCTTTTCTTTTGTTGTTGTTGTTGTTGTTATTTTACTGTCTCCACAAAAATGGGTGTAAATGAGTGATAGAAGCTGCAGAAGCCTGTGAGCGGTGTGCTAGGACTAAGTATAGTCCGATCTGATGAATATTGCTGATTTCTTCTGAAAAGAATATGTGAGGTCCAGGGATAAAAATCTTCTTGGTTTATTTGTTGCGTCAATGAATAGGACTTAGAATCTCCTTAGCGCTTGAAGTTGGAAGAGAACACAACAAGAATTTTATTATATCCAAACAAATTAAGGTACAATAATTGGAACAAACTAAGCTAACTTTTGAAATAGAAATGAAAAATATGGTAAGCAAATGAATTTACTAGTAATCTAAAGTTGAAATGACACTGAATCTTGAGAGATAACTGCTAAGTATTTTCTGAATTGACTGGATGATTGGTTGGGGTTTTTCCATCTTGAAATGGGTTTCATATGCTTTTCTAGCCGTTTTGAGCTAGCTCCTAATATATCCCTCGACCACTTATGGTTAGTGGTTTTCTAGAACACCTCCTAGAGTGCCAAGTGTCCCTCAACAACCATGTTGCCCAAATATCTCTAATGTATCCCTCAAGAGATGTAAGAGATGTAGATGATTGCCTCATTTTCTCCTAGTTGTTGGACCAAGTAGTAAGAGGTCTTGAATTTAAATGGATGGGTGCTAAGGGTGCTCACAGATTGGGTTGGGTTGGGTGCCTCCCAATTCGCCATCCATCTGTACTTAGGTGGATTATAAAAAATCAATCCGTACTCATTTGCTTAGTAGATGTGGATTGAGTAGGCCGTGCAGATTGGCGGGTGGATCTGTGATGGTGCAAGTCTAACAGACAAAGACAGCTGGCCATGAGCAGATGGTGATGAAATCTGAGTGCAGTGAGCAGTATATATTTGAAATATTTTAGAGTAATTTTTTACTATTTTGGGCTTTATTTGAGTCAAAAAAATTTTATTCTTCATTTTTAATAATTAAAATAAAGGCCAAACTTTCATATTTTATAAGTAGCTAATATTATTACTAAATAAAATGTCATTTTTTTTAACATACAAATCATGAAAACATAACATCATTTTCTTAAGAAGGGTTGGTGGATCGAGTGGCTTCTTATCTGCCATCCATCTGAGCATAAGCATATTAGAAAAATCTGCATCCGCATCTGCTTGCCCATACTATTGAAACCACTTAAAAGTGAGTGGATTGGGCTGGATCGAGTTAGTTTTGACGGATCAGCCTGGTCAATAAATACCTCCAATGGGTGCCACATGTCCATATCTCCAGTCCATATCCCAAGATGATAGCTCCATGGTGGTTAATAGGAATGGTTAATAAACATCTCCTTGAAAATAGGTACATGATTTTCTAGATATAATGAGTTAATATCTCAACATATTAATAGGAAACCATCATTACTTAAGCATACTTGATAAAATTACCAAGCACCTTCACTCTTATGGGTCACCTGCGCAGTGTATCACCCCTTGATCTGGATGTTACTCCCGGAAAAACACCTTGGAGATAACTTTATAAAACCTTACAAATCTATTAGTTCATTAAAATTACCACGCACATCCATTTATTTGAATAATCAACACCATCCATATCTCCAGTCCATATCCCAAGATGATAGCTCCATGGTGGTTAATAGGAATGGTTAATAAACATCTCCTTGAAAATAGGTACATGATTTTCTAGATATAATGAGTTAATATCTCAACATATTAATAGGAAACCATCATTACTTAAGCATACTTGATAAAATTACCAAGCACCTTCACTCTTATGGGTCTCCGACACAACGTATCACCCCTTGATTTGGAGGTTACTCTGGGAAAAACACCATAGAGATAACATTACAAAACTTTACAAATCTATTAATTGATTAAAATTACCATGCACATTCATTTATTTGAATAATCAATGCCATGTGGTATCATCTGATAGGGCTGTCATTTTTTGTACAAACACTTACACATATATTTTCATTTTCTACATATATAAAGTATTCATGTTAAATACTTGACATATGAATATGTGGGTAAGGAAATGATCATTTGATATTATTTTGGACTCAATGTTACTACGGTAAGTCACAATAGTAACTGTTATGAGCTTCCGTGGAACATTATTCTAGACTTATTTTGATAATCCAAACTATTTATATTGTAAGGTTTGTCGAACATATCATCCATCTAAAAAATTAGGTTAATCAAATATTTGTAACCCTATCGAGTTCTAATTATTTTTAAAAACAATATCAAAATCATGCTAGCCATTTATTTTTTAACAAACAACAATGTGATCTTGTTAAGGGACTAAATATCCGACTAACATGATTCTTTTCATAAACAATCTACTTGATGGACTTGCAATACAAACATTTGGGCTATCCAAATAAGCTTAGGAAAAGTCACCACAGATGTCACAACTGCTACTGATATGGCTTACTTACAACAGTAACCCCAATTTCCATTATTTTACTTTGAAACATTAAAGAAGTAAATTAACAAACATGATCTTTTTTGTTGTGTCCTCATGTCCTTGGATGTGTGATCAGATGAATTGGACACTTAAATACATATCCACACTAAATACCCATATTTGATATAAATATATATGTTGAATTTGTTATAAATAAATAAATAGCAAGCTTTTCAAAGTTGAAAGTAGGACTTGGTAGCAATTTGAAGAAGCGATGGATGAATCAAGTGCAACTTTTTCCTAAAATCATTTGGCTAAGTGGACAATATTACCATAAAAAAGTGAAGGAAAACTCTATTTGCTGATGTTTCAAATGTACTAACTGTGTTGCAATGCAGGAAATGAAGTTAGCACTGAACCACTTATCAATCTCAAGGTTGGTAGCTCTTTATAGGGTAAATTACACCATTAGTCCTTATAATTTAAGTGAAGTGTCATTTTAGTCCCCATAGTTTCAATTTGAAGAATTTAGTCCCTACACTTTAATTTTGTTGCAATGTGATATCTTCGTTACTTACTGTTAAATTTGTAACTGGAAAAGACCATATGTAAAACTATTTGTACCAAAAATGACTACCCAACCGGATGATGCCACTTGGTGATCATCATTCAAATAAATGAATGTTCTTGGTAATTTTAGTAGATTCGACAAGTTTGATAAAACTACCCTTAAGGTGATTTTCTTGGAGGAATAGCCAAATCAGGAGGTGACACGTTGCACTAGTGATCCATGAAACTAAATGTTCTTGGTGGTTCTATCAAAATGCTTATCAGATAATGGTGGTGATTGTTTGCAATTTTATAGGAATTAGTTAAGAGATATTCTTCTATTAATATCTCCAGTAGAATGTGTTCCTAATATTTTAAGATATGGTTATTGACCATTATTTCATACGACCATAGAGCTATAATCTTGGGATTTGGTCTAGTGGTTATGACATATGTTATTCATCCATCACATCTTGAGTCTCACTACCCATGATCCAACGACAAGAAGAATGTGGCAGAAACTATTCTTCATGCAAATTAGCAAATTCAATAAATGTAAATTCAACACATGTTTGAAATATTTGGGCTTCAAGACTTGTTCATAGGACACATGGCAGCCATAGAGCCAACCTAGCATCCTACTAAGCAAAGTGGCCGAAAAAATTTAGGAGGTCGTTTGTAACTTTCAGAAGGCACCCAGCGGCTGTACAAAGGCCATTTACAAGCTCAAGTTCAGCGCATCGACACCAACTTATATTAACAAAACATTTAACAACAACTTAGCCTTAGCATTTACCATTAGTTCATCTTTAAGGCACCTATGCAATAGTTAGTTGTTTGGCATCAGTGCCATTAACATCAGTGTCAATGTAGATTAGTTTTGTCGTTTGTGGCTGATTTTTCTTATTTCAATTGTAATTACAATCTGTTGTAACTCAATTGATTTTTATGTGAAACTGTTTTTGCCACTTTGTGTATGTTCAATCCTTTTGAGTACATTGAAGTTGATAGTTTCTTATTTGTATTTCCTTCTGCTAACTTTTCTTCCTATCTTATAACCTTTAGGAGATTTTAAGTCCTTTTCATTGAGGCGAGTAAAGGACTAGGGGGCTTTTATCCCCTTGGCCCTAGCACAATCTCTTGATAAGCAATCAGATCCATTTTCACATAGGTAATATGTTTCCTTGGCACGTCTGCATCCTAAATCTCCTTGCTTTGCCAATTTTTGTTCAAACATATTTTGCTATGTCCATTGGAACCCCTAAGGAATTTAAGTGGTTGAATATGCTGATTTGTTATTATATCAATTCGTTATCTTTAGTTAGAATTAGCAATTTAGCATTGTAAAGAAGAAGTGCATTGGTGCGAAGATGAGATTGACAACTTTAAAAATGAGATTTATCATATTGACTAGATAAAATCTCAACTTATGCCTTTATATTTTATATCGTCTATGGAAGGGTGCAGTTGGGGGTACAAAGAAAAAAGTTGATTGAACTATACAATTGATTAGCTCATGGATAAAATTGATCATTTGGAGATGAAACTCAATATTTTCGTTGTGATATAAACTATCTCCATAAAGACCTTCTACATGAAGTGTCATGTCACCCCCCGGATTTACAAGGTTTGGTCCACGTGAATAAATCCAAAACCGATAAATAAAAACGACAATAAGATATAATAAAATAACTTTTGTGGAAATGACTTCTATTATAAAGTTAGACAATATATGAATTCATCCGGTTTTATGCACCTTACATTCAACATCTAAGTGGTATGAGTGCTCTTATATAACACATACAATGATGTCATACATAATTGAAATGCCCAAAGGCTTACATCATATACAAAGGGTGTAACCCTTACAAGAATGGTACGAGGCCAAATAAATGAACAAATGGCCCGCAACCTACAAATAATGGAACTACCCTACTTAGCTCCAATCACACTCCATTGTCTCATTCCAAATCTGTACATGCAACACACCTGAAAAACATTTTCAGCCATGTAGAGTGAGCATAAATTCCAATAGAGTATATTTCAAAAACTAAATATGCTCCACTAGCATATATGATCATGATGCAATACATATATACAATGTGTCAAATGCACTTTCAAAATCCACTGATTCTCAACAAAAAAATCCTTTCTTTTCAATCTTCAAAACATTTTCCAAAATCAGAACATCTATTTGATAAAAACTCATGCTTACATCATATACAAAGGGTGTAACCCTTACAAGAATGGTACGAGGCCAAATAAATGAACAAATGGCCCGCAACCTACAAATAATGGAACTACCCTACTTAGCTCCAATCACACTCCATTGTCTCATTCCAAATCTGTACATGCAACACACCTGAAAAACATTTTCAGCCATGTAGAGTGAGCATAAATTCCAATAGAGTATATTTCAAAAACTAAATATGCTCCACTAGCATATATGATCATGATGCAATACATATATACAATGTGTCAAATGCACTTTCAAAATCCACTGATTCTCAACAAAAAAATCCTTTCTTTTCAATCTTCAAAACATTTTCCAAAATCAGAACATCTATTTGATAAAAACTCATTTCCAAAACAAATCCAAGTATCTCAATACCAACCAGCAAATACATTGCTAAACATTTTCCAAAACATCCTTTTCAAAGCCAAATGATAATAAATAAAATGGGTAAATCTCTAGGGCTAGTGTTCATAATAGTAACTATATACATCACAGGATTTTCTGGATGGAATCGACACCTACCACGCGGGTTTTTGGTCTTGCACGAAGGGCACACAGGCCAACTTAATTTGTCTCTAACAACTCCTTACAACTTTACCACTGTATGTACCCCTTTGTACAATACATGTGTTCCAAAATAATACTTTCAAAACCATACAAACATTTTAAAAACATAATACAAACGTTTCGAAACAGCCTTTTCAAAACATACAATTTTAAGTTCCAAATCTATGATATGCATCATGATGTGAATGGTTTCATAAATGTTTCCGTTTGCCTAATCCACATGCAATTTCTAACACACGGCAATGCTATCTTCTACCAATAGCCAAAATAGTTTTCTCTAATACAATAATTAAAAGATAACAATACAGATACATAACCCAACAGTTCCAAAACCCATATATGTCTCAACAACCCAAGATTTTCCAAAAGAGTAATAATACTCATTGTTTCCAAAATCCCATAACCATTTTCTTTCCATCTCTTTCCAACCAAACCATTTTCCAGAATGAACCTAACTCCCAACAACAATATCATTTAGGGTTGTTCACAAATTGGGGCTTTTCCATTTTTAGAAATGCATATGCACTTTTGTATAACAAAAATAGATTTAGTAGTAAAACTATAGCCCAACAACCCCTAATTTAACAAAACCCCCAACCCACAAAACATAACTCCAAAATCAACCAAATGACCACAAAATCTATATCAAAATACGTCCCAAATACACTACCAAACTCACATCAAGTTTAAGAAATAGACCGAACCTCTTAAAACGAAAAGGAGACAAACTGGAAAAATCACCGACGACGAAATGGTGATCTGCTCAAATTAAAAGAAAGCCCTTGTCGAGCTCTACATTTTGGTATACAAAACCAGGGGTAAATTGTGGGTAAAAATAGATGAAACCCAAGCTTAAAAAGCTTAAAGGGACGAAAATGATAGAAATGAAGAGAGACTTTTGAGTTTGGTCTGAGGTTCAAAGAAGATTAGTTCCACAACCAAAGTGGACCAGAGTTAGTTTAGTGACCCGCGAAGATAGACCAAAGAAAGGGGCAGGAAATAAAAGGGAAAGAAAGGTTATAAGTTATAAAAAGTGGCACTATAAGTGCCCTTTGATATTGCTCTAATAGCTGCTCGAATCAAGATCAAGTAGAGCTGCTTGACGAACCCTAACAATTGGATTAGTATTCTTAGTAAGAAGATGGAAAGGTCTTTGATGCATGCATATTTGAAGCAAGGAAAAGGGAAGGTGGTGGAAAGGTACAGAAGGAAAGAGCAGCTAAAGCTGTCTGTCACAAGAGGCCTCCCTTACTCAACTAGAATAGATAGAGTCAGGACAGTGCAAATGGGTGATCAATGCAATCGGCCAATACTTCGAGATGTGATTGGGGTGATTAAAGGCCCCAATGATGAGTCTATGTTGTTTCTGATTCCAAACAGTCATCTCGGCCATCAGTGATCAGAGGTACCTATCTCGTTTATAACACCTAGGCAAATGTATTGATAGATACCGGGGCATCGCATTCATTCATAGAATTTGCACTTGCATCCACGTTAGGTCTAAACGTAGAATGATTAGAATCTTCACTTATGATTGAGTCACCACTTGGGGGTCAAGTCGTTTTGGATTGGGGGTGTCATGGGTGTATAATCGAGGTAGCGGAAAGTCAACTTCTTTTTAATCTTGTGTTGTTAGAAATGTCAGGCTTTGATGTTATTCTTGGTATGGATTGGTTGTCCTCTTATCGTGCTATTATAGATTGCTATCGTGGAAGGGTTACAGTGTGTACCGTAGAAAGGGACTATTTTTATTTTCTAGGGGATAGAGCTAATGGAGGGTTGTCACCATTGTATAACCTGCGAAATCGGGGCAAACTTAGCTTCTTTCTTGCAACCATCATAGATGATGAGAATAATGTGGTTCGAGGGATGTTTCCTAAGGTAGTTTGTGAATATACATATGTTTTTCCTGAGGATCTCACCAAGTTATTACCTCATCGTGAGGTAGAGTTTCTTATAAATCTAGTGCTTGGAACAACACTCATCACTATGTCACCATATAGATTTGCCCCAGCAGAACTACTTGTCCTAAAGGAGCAGTTACAAGAATTGTCAGACAAGAGTTTTATATTCCCTAGCACTTC